GAATTCTGACCGACAACTCAACGAGTTCAGGAGCTATGTCACAAAAGAGTTTGATACGATAAAGAAGAACCAAACAGAAATACTGGAAATGAAGAACACAATAGAGGAGATTAAGAAAAATCTAGATGCTCTGAACAGTAGGGCCGATAATATGGAGGAAAGAATTAGCAATTTGGAAGATGGCAATATAGAATTGTTGCAGGCAGAGGAGGAGAGAGAAGCAAGACTTAAAAGAAATGAAGAAACTCTCCGAGAATTATCAGACACAATTAGGAGATGCAACGTAAGGATTATAGGTATACCAGAGGGAGAAGAGAAGGAGAAAGGGGCAGAAAACCTATTCAAAGAAATAATGGCTGAGAACTTCCCAAATCTGGTGAGGGAGATGGATCTTCAGGTGACAGAAGCCAATAGATCTCCAAACTTTATCAATGCAAGAAGACCAACTCCACGGCATATAGTAGTGAAGCTAGCAAAAGTCAACGACAAGGAGAAAATATTAAGGACAGCCAGGCAAAAGAAACTAACCTACAAAGGAACCCCCATCAGGCTATCAGCAGATTTCTCAGCAGAAACTTTACAGGCTAGAAGAGAGTGGAATGATATATTCAAAAATCTGAAGGACAAAAACCTACAGCCGAGAATTCTCTACCCAGCGAAAATATCCTTCAAATACGATGGAGAAATAAAAACTTTCCCAGATAAACAAAAATTAAGGGAGTTCATTGCCACAAAACCTCCTCTTCAGGAAATCCTCAGGAAAACCCTCATTCCTGAAAAATCCAAAAAAGGAAAGGGGCTACAAAACCAAGAGCAGAGGAGATAAGTAGAAGGACAACAACAGAGAGTAGCAGCTCTACATCAGAACAGATTAAACCATGGGACGAGAAACAAAGGAAACTGAAGAAAACCGGAAAACAAGACACAAAATGGTAGTGGTAGGCCCCCACGTCTCAATAATCACTCTAAATGTAAACGGATTGAACTCCCCAATCAAAAGACACAGAGTGGCAGGATGGATCAAAGAACAAGATCCAACAATATGCTGCCTCCAGGAAACACACCTCAGCCCCAAAGACAAACACAGACTCAGAGTGAAGGGATGGAGAACAATACTCCAAGCTAATAATGAACAAAAGAAAGCAGGTGTCGCTATACTAATATCAGACAAGGTAGATTTCAAAGCAAAACAGATAAAGAAAGACAAAGAGGGACAGTATATAATGATAAAAGGGACTCTCCACCAAGAAGACATAACACTTATAAATATATACGCACCCAACACAGGAGCACCAAAATTTGTAAAGCAACTCTTAATAGAACTAAAAGAAGACATCAACAACAATACAATAATAGTAGGGGACCTCAACACACCATTAACACCAATGGACAGAACATCCAGACAGAAAATCAACAAGGAAATAATAGAATTAAATGAAAAATTAGACCAGATGGACTTAATAGATATATATAGAACACTTCATCCAAAAACAGCAGGTTACACATTCTTCTCAAGTGCACATGGAACATTCTCAAGGATTGACCATATTTTGGGAACCAAAGCAAACATCAATAAATACAAGAGAGTTGAAATAATATCAAGCATCTTTTCTGATCATAACGCTATTAAACTAGAAATCAACTACAAGAAAAAAGCAGAGAAAGGTGCAAAAATGTGGAGACTAAACAACACGCTTCTCAACAAACAATGGATCATTGAAGAAATTAAAGAAGAAATCAAATATTATCTGGAGACAAATGAAAATGAGAACACGACATACCAAATCATTTGGGATGCAGCAAAAGCAGTCCTAAGAGGGAAATTCATCGCAATACAGGCTCACCTCACTAAACAAGAAAAAGCTCACGTAAGCAACCTCAAACGACACCTAACAGAACTAGAAAAAGAAGAACAAACAAGGCCCAGAGTCAGTAGAAGGAGGGAAATAATAAAAATAAGAGCAGAAATAAACGATATTGAAACAAAAAAGACAATAGAAAGGATCAATGAAACAAAGAGTTGGTTCTTCGAAAGAATTAACAAAATTGACAAACCCCTAGCCAGACTCACCAAGAAAAGAAGAGAGAAATCGCAAATTAATAAAATCAGGAATGACAGAGGAGAAATCACAACAGATACCAATGAAATACAAGAGATCATAAGAGAATACTATGAAAAACTATATGCCAACAAATTGAACAACCTGGAAGAAATGGACAAATTCCTAGACTCCTACAATCTCCCCAAACTGAATCAGGAAGAAATGGAGAATCTGAATAGACCAATCACAAGTAAGGAAATAGAAACGGTAATCAAAAACCTCCCCAAAAACAAGAGTCCAGGACCAGACGGCTTCTCTGGAGAATTCTACCAAACATTCAAAGAAGACTTAATACCTATTCTCCTCAAACTGTTCCAGAAAATTGAGAAAGATGGAGAACTCCCTAACACATTCTATGAAGCCAACATCACTCTGATCCCCAAACCTGACAAGGACAACACAAAGAAGGAGAACTACAGGCCGATATCACTGATGAACATAGATGCAAAAATCCTCAACAAAATTTTGGCAAACCGATTACAGCAATACATCAAAAAGATTATACACCATGATCAAGTGGGATTTATACCAGGGACACAGGGATGGTTCAACATCCGCAAGTCAATCAACGTGATACACTACATTAACAAAATGAAAACCAAAAACCACATGATCATCTCAATAGATGCAGAGAAAGCATTCGACAAGATCCAACACCCATTTATGATAAAAACCCTCAGTAAAATGGGTATAGAAGGAAAGTACCTCAACATAATAAAGGCCATATATGATAGACCCACAGCCAACATCATACTCAATGGACAAAAGCTGAAAGCCATCCCTCTGAGGACAGGAACAAGACAAGGGTGCCCACTTTCACCACTCCTATTCAACATAGTTCTGGAGGTGCTGGCCAGAGCAATTCGGCAGGAAAAAGAAATAAAAGGAATCCAAATAGGTAACGAAGAAGTAAAACTCTCGTTGTTTGCAGACGACATGATCTTATACATAGAAAACCCCAAAGAATCCACAGAAAAACTATTAGAAATAATCAACAACTACAGCAAAGTAGCAGGATATAAAATTAACGTGCATAAATCAGTAGCATTTCTATACACTAACAATAAACTAACAGAAAAAGAACTCAAGAACTCTATCCCATTCACAATAGTAACGAAAAGAATAAAATACCTTGGGATAAACTTAACCAAGGAAGTGAAGGATCTATACAATGAAAACTACAAGACTCTCTTGAAAGAAATAGGCGATGACATAAAGAGATGGAAAGACATCCCTTGCACATGGATTGGAAGAATAAACATAGTTAAAATGTCCATATTACCTAAAGCAATATACAGATTCAATGCTATCCCAATCAGAATCCCAAGAACATTCTTCACAGAAATTGAACAAACAATCCTAAAATTCATATGGGGGAACAAAAGACCGCGAATTGCTAAAGCAATCCTGAGCAAGAAAAACAAAGCCGGCGGAATCACAATCCCCGATGTCAAAACATACTACAAAGCTACAGTGATCAAAACAGCATGGTACTGGTACAAAAACAGGTCCACAGATCAATGGAACAGAATTGAAAGCCCAGAGATAAAACCACACATCTATGGACAGCTAATCTTCGACAAAGGAGCAGAGGGCCTACAATGGAGAAAAGAAAGTCTCTTCAACAAATGGTGCTGGGAAAACTGGACAGCCACATGCAAAAGATTGAAAATTGACCATTCTTTTTCACCACACACCAAAATAAACTCAAAATGGATCAAAGACCTAAAGATTAGGCCTGAGACAATAAGTCTTTTGGAAGAGAATATAGGCAGTACACTCTTTGACATCAGTTTCAAAAGAATCTTTTCGGACACTATAACTCCTCAGTTGAGGGAAACAATAGAAAGAATAAACAAATGGGACTTTATCAGACTAAAGAGCTTCTTCAAGGCAAGGGAAAACAGGATTGAAACAAAAAAACAGCTCACTAATTGGGAAAAAATATTTACAAGCCACTTATCCGACAAAGGGTTAATCTCCATAATATACAAAGAACTCACACTGCTTAACAACAAAAAAGCAAACAACCCGATCAAAAAATGGGCAGAGGACATGAACAGACATTTCTCAAAAGAAGATATGAATATGGCCAATAGACACATGAAAAGATGTTCATCATCGCTAATCATCAGGGAAATGCAAATCAAAACTACACTAAGATATCACCTTACCCCCGTTAGATTGGCAAAAACATCCAAAACCAAGAACGACAAATGTTGGAGGGGTTGAGGAGAAAGAGGAACCCTCATACACTGTTGGTGGGAATGCAAACTGGTACAGCCACTATGGAAAACAGTATGGAGATTTCTCAAAAAGTTAAAAATAGAAATACCCTATGACCCAGCCATCCCATTACTGGGTATCTATCCTAAGAACCTGATATCAGATATCTCAAGAGTCCGTTGCACCCCTATGTTCATTGCAGCATTATTTACAATAGCCAAGACGTGGAACCAGCCTACATGCCCAGAAACTAATGATTGGATAAAGAAGATGTGGTATATATACACAATGGAATACTACTCAGCCATAAAAAAAGACGAAATTGGCCCATTCACAACAATGTGGATGGACCTCGAGGGTATTATGTTAAGCGAAATAAGTCAGTCAGAGAAAGACGAACTCTATATGACTCCACTCATAGGTGGAAATTAGTATATTGAGAAGGAGATCTGATCGGTGGTTACCAGGGAAAAGGGGGGGTGGGGGGAGGGTACGGAGGGGGAAGTGGTGTACCCACAACATGACTAACAAAAATGTACAACTGAAATCTCACAAGGTTGTAATCTATCATAACATTAATAAAAAAAAAAAAAAAAAAAAAAAATACAAGATGCCAAACAGAACAAGTTGGAGACAGAAACAGGTCATAGGGAGGGGTGTGAAGTACATGTCTGTGTTGGGGTTGGGGTGTAGTTTCAGGGGCAGGTGATGCCTTCAGCAGGTCTCTGTGTGTCAGTACCTGAGACTAGGAGTTAGTGAGGATCACCTACTGTGTGTCCAGCATCGCATAACAGGGAGTGTGTTTCTTTTGTGAGTGGAAAAGAGTGGAAGTAAGCTGTGCTTTCTGAGGGCCAGGAGCCCTCTTCCCTTGCTCCACCATCCTCATGATGCCTTGTAATTTCACTCCCACTGGCACCAGTGCTTTTTTTAATGTATAACCTCTGTTCCTTTGGTGTGTAGATCTTCCAGGCATCCGCCCTTGGCTTCAAGAGAGTAGGGCAGAAGGTCTAGCTGGACATAAATTGCACGTGACCAACTCCCCAACCTATCTGCGTAGAGACCAGTCTTCTGTCCAGAAAATGCTTAGCAGTTTAATATCCTCTCCTGTTCCACTAGCCTCTCCACTCTCTACCTAGTGTAATTGATCATACACCTGAAGAAGACTAGAAGAAAGCCAAAACATAAAGGGACCCCGGGTTTGGATTGCGAGGGGATGCGTTTACAAATAGGTCTGTGAGGCCGCAGGGTGGCGCCAGAGTAAGAACCTCAAGGGACGTGCGCGAGGGAGCGCTTCGCGGGACCAGGAACTACGCTTCCCGGGAGCCCTTGCGCGGACACCGGGCGGGGTTCTCCGAGAGGCGGGACCTGCGGACAGTAGCGTGTGGGGCGCTCAAGCGACGCGGATGGCGGGGCCCGTGAAGGACCGGGAGGCCTTCCAGAGGCTCAGCTTCCTGTACCAGGTGAGTCCCCGTCGGGACCGCACCGGGAGGTGGCCGGGTGCGGCCGGGCCCCGAGTGACCGCTCCCCTCCCCCAGGCCGCCCACTGCGTCCTTGCGCAGGACCCCGAGAACCAGGCCCTGGCGACGTTTTACTGCCACACGGAGAGGACCATCGCGAAGCGGCTCGTCTTGCGGCGGTGAGACGGAGCGGAGCCTGGCGGCGGGCGGGACGGGGATGAATGGGAGAGGCAGCGCAGGAGCCCAATCCCCATGCCCCTCCGCCCACAGGGACCCCTCGGTGAAGAGGACCCTCTGTCGTGGCTGCTCTTCCCTCCTCATCCCGGGTCTGACCTGCACGCAGCGCCAGAGACGTGAGTGTTCCTGGGGCAAGCGACCCCTTCCTCCATTTGGAAGGGTGTAGAGCGTGAGATTTGCAGGAGCAGGCTTTTTCCAGCTCGGGGTTAAGTTGCTAATTGCACGTGGACAAACTAAGGTTTGGGCTTGGCTTTTATACTCTATCTGGGCAACAGAGAAATGATGTGGCCGTAAGAGGCAATCCCACCCGTGCATAATAATAGATATTATTTGGCGTCGTGGAGGACATGATTCCTATCATCATTCATTCATTCAACAAATATATAATTTTCTAAAATGTGCCAAGTATTGTGCTAGATTTATTATTCTCATTGCATTTCTAGTCTTATGGGACAGACTAAGATAGAAACAGTTAAAATAGTGTAGAAAAGTGCTTTAACTGGGAGAGTGGGGTGCTAAATTACTTATGCCAGGGGTGATGAGGTTAAGCAAAGTGAGTGGAAAATGGGAATTCTAGGCATTTGTGAGGACTCTGAGACAAGAGAGCTTGTGGTGCTGCCCAGGAAATGAGAGTTCAGGAGGCTGGAGTTTGCGGTACGCAAGAGAAGAGGTTGGAGAAGGAAACAGGGCACATCTTGAAGAGTCTTGTTAAGGAGTTTAGGCTTTATCATAAAGAATACCAAGAAATTGATAGAGTTTATGCAGGGGCCTGACACCATCAAATTTGCATTCCAAGTGGGGAGGGGGTGGAATTCCTACTGGAAAACAGTGGAGGCAAAACCAGGTACAGGAGACGTTTTCCTGTCCTAAATGTGGACACTCTCTTCCTTTTTCCCACTTTCACCCCAGGCTGCAGGGGACAGCGCTGGACAGTTCAGACCTGCCTAACATGCCGGCGCAGCCAACGGTTCCTCAACAATCCTGGGCATCTGCTCTGGGGAGACCGGCCTGAGGCCCAGCTGGGGAGCCAGGCAGGTGAGCAGCGGTAGAGAAAATGGGGGATAGGGACAATGGGGAGTGTCCCAGTGTGGCCCAAAGAAGACACATAGGTGAGCTCTGGGTTGGTGAGAGGTGCTAAAGTCTTAGAACGCTCTTCTGCTCGTCTACACAGATCCCAAACCACCACAGCCCATGCCGAACACAGCCCACCCCATTCCAGCCCACCTTCCTGAGGAGAAAGTGCAGCCTCCAAGCTCCAGTCACCAGTGACAGATTCACCCTATCTTCCAAATAAATAAAGTTTAATTTTGTTTCACTTTGTGTGATTATGTTTTGTGAGTATTTCAGCTCTTAATTCATTTTCCTCTGTTTCTCTATTTCTCTGTCACTGGCTAACCTCTCCTTTGTCCTTACCATCCTCGTAGTCCTGCCATTTAGGGAGATCCTGATTTCCATAGACCACTTGGTCCCACTCAGCTGCTCCCATTTCCAGGATCCTGACCCCAGTGCACCTTCGTCTCTTCTTCCTCAGTGCAATGCCTCATTTGGAACTCAGGCTCCCAGGTTGTCTGCAAGGGCCTGAGCCATCTTAAGGCATTCCATATTTAGGGAGCTCTGACTGTTGACTAAAGGGCTGGACAGACTGCTGATGCCACTGATGCTATTTTTTAAAAAGTTTGGGTGGAAGGAGCTTCAGATCCTCCAAGCCCACTCAGAGTTGGTCTTTTCCAAACCTCTAGATTTTTCTTCTGTAAAATTCTAATAAGGGAAATTGTACAAACCTGAACTAACCAAGTCAAAGGTGCTAATAAAAGGACACTGGCAGATATCACACAAGTATGCTCTGTAGGGAAAGCTTCAAGGTTTTCTTGAGAATCAGTGAACAACAAAAATTGTTTTGTTTGACATCCCTAGAGAACTACTCAAGGACAGAATTTCAGACTGACCTCTTTCCTAGGTGCCAGCCAGTCCTTCTACCCTAAAAGCATCCAAACTAAATTCACTATGCCGAGGACGTAGTTTTCTTTCCTCCCCTTCTCTTATGAATCCTGTGTTGCACTTACTTATTGCTGCATAAAAATCGTTCCATAACGTTGTGGCTTAAAACAACAATGATTTCTTATTTCCCCTGATTTTGTAGGCTGGGCTGTCGGAGTGCTTGGCTGGGTGGTTCTGTTCCATATGCATCAGCTGGAGTCCTTCAGCTGCATTCAGCTGGTGGCTGGTCCCTGGTCTGGAAGACTCAAGAAGCTTCATTTGCATGTCTGGTACCTCATTGCTTCTCCATGTGGCCTTGCTATGTAGCTGGCTTTGACGTCATCACAGAATGGCTGTCTCGGGGTGGTTGGACTTCTTACATGGCTCCTGGCTTCCACAGAGAGCATTCCAAGTGAACAAGCTCCAAGGTGCAAGTGCTTATCCAGCCTCTGTTCTTGTCACACTTGTTAATGTCCCCGTGACCAGAGCAAGTCATATGACCAAGCCCAGAGTCAATGTGGAAAGGGCTACACCAGGGCGTGAATACTGGGAGGGTCGTTGGTTGCCTGGGGACCACCAATGTAGCATCTACAGCATCCTTGTTTTGCCTTCACCCCTGACTCAGTCTTTCCACTGATTACTTCACACATCAGTATTCTCATGGAAAATACTAAACAGTGTGCACATAACTAAATGTTTCTGAGTTCTTTGACAGTTTATTTCTGTAGATAGTGCCTACCTGGGTCAACTGTAGCAGCCAACAGAAATATGTACCCTTGGGGCCGGCCCAGTGGTGCAGCAGTTAAGTGCGCACATTGCACTTCGGTGGCCCAAGGTTCACTGGTTCAGATTCCGGGTGCGGACATGGCACTACTTGGCAAGCCATGCTGTGCAGGTGTCCCACATATAAAGTGGAGGAAGATGGGCACGGATGTTAGCTCAGGGCCAGTCTTCCTCAGCAAAAAGAGGAGGATTGGCAGCAGATGTTAGCTCAGGGCTAATCTTCCTCAAAAAAAAAAAAGAAAGAAAAAAAGAATGCGTACCCTGAAAGTGCACCCTTTGGAGACCTGGACCCTTTGTGTCCTCACTCTCCTTCCTTGGTTCCTCCCATGAGTCTCATTTCTGAGCTCGTTTGTTCTTACACACTAAATCTGATTTTTGGCCAAGTTTGTTTTGAGTGTGATTATGCTCGCGCATGACTGTCCACATCCACAGTGGGATTCCTCTAACTGGAGATCAGAGCCCTCTTCCTCCTTCCAAAACCATCCTTTTTCATGTTTACTTACTGTGACATGGTAATTGTCAACATATTCAAAAATGGATTTCCTATATCAGAGGAAATCAAATCCTAATATGTAATAGTCAGCTTTCTTTAATGTTTATGAATGATTTACTAATTCAAAATTTGTGCCTTTTTAGGACCCTTGAAATAAAATTAATAGAGGAGAGAGACCAAACACGTCATTCCTACTGAATCAAGAAAATGAGGTCTTCCAAAAGCAATAGAAACCAAGACTTACTCATTTCTGAATCTTCTCATTCCTAGACCTTAGGTTTAGCATTTTTTTAAAACTGGTAAAAATGAGTATCATTGTTGTCACAAGGAGAAAGAAGGATTGAGAGACTGTCCTCAGTTCAGAAGGAAATTAGAAAATTACTTAGTCTCAGCAAAGAGAATAATAAATAATAATTCTAGCTTTATCTATGTCACATAGTTACTGTAACTATCAAATGAGATAATACATATGGAGGTACCTTGAAAATTGGGTATTATAGGGCATTTTGATAGAGTGTAAGTAGTAATCAAAATTATGCTTTGGGGATAATAATAAGTATCAAAATATATTAGAAATGACATTTCGTGGACATCAAGGAACCTGAGTTATTGTCACCACAATATGTATTAGTAAAATGAGACAGTTTGACTATGTTCTTTTCCTAAAGTTTCTTCCAACTGGAAACTAACAAATGAAGTTATCCAATTTTTCCAGTAGATGTCAAAAAGCCAGATTTCTTTCAGACTTTTTCATGCATTCATTCAATAGATATTTTCTGAGGGCCTCCTCTGTGGCAGGACATTCCTCAGGACTTAGGATATACATCAGTGAACAGGAGTTAGGGGTGAGACAAGCAAAAAGTAATGTTTGACAATAAATTATATATCATAAAAGGATGTGTGCAATACAAGAAGTCAGGAGGGTAAGGAAGCTGTGGGGTACAGGGTCCAGTTTTAATTAGAGCAGCCTAGGGAAGCAGCCCTGAGAAGGTGACCACAGCAGACTCTGCAGATGCTTCTTCCGTTCTCAGACAACCCCAGAGAAGGTCACTTCCTGCAGATACTTCCCATACATGACAAGAACTTCTGTCTCTCTACCCAAGGGTATTATGTGGAAGCAGGAGCCATGCAGGGTAAGCCAAAACTGCCAGGGAGTGATGCCCCCGGGAGCAACCCCAAACAGTGAGGGATGAGAGTTGGTGGATAAATATTCTACATAGCGTCTCAGGGTCTCCAGCAGGTGGCTTGAGCCCTGGTGGCATCAGTGCTTAGATGAGCCCTTCATACACTTTCCTCCCTCCCCCATTTCACTCCCTACTTCCTCGCCTTAATCCCTGGGATGATCTTCCAGGTAAACTACTTGTACCAAAGTCTGTGTCTCTGGGTTTGCTTTGGAAGAATCAAACTAAGTGTGACATTTGAAAAAAAAGACTTGAAGGAGCTAAGGGACCTATCCATGCAGGTGACTGGGGCAAAGCTTCCGGGTAGAGGGGACAGCTAGGGCACAGGTCCTGAAGTGGGAGTCTGCCAGGACGTTCAAGGATCAGAAAGGAGGCCAATGTGAGTGGAACGGAGTGAGCAAGGTGGAGAGTAGTAAATGTCCCCAGAGAGAGAATGGGAGGCCGAGGATCTTTAGGCCATCATCAGGAAATTGACTTGTTCATTGAGAGGCTGCTGGAAATTTTTAGCCAGGAATGACATGACCTGGTCTAAAATTTTATAAGGATCACTCTGTTCTTTTAACAGTAGACTAGGAAAGCAAGACTGGCAGAAGGGCAAACAGGAGGCTGTTGCAGTCGCCCGTTTGAGAGATGATAGTGGCTTGGACCGTGGTGTTAGCAGTGAAGATGGAGGGAAGTGTTCAGATTTTCAATACAGTTTGAAGGTAGAGCCCACTGATTTCCTCGTGAACTAACAGTGGGCTGTGAGAAAAAAGGATAAACAATTCCACAGAACTGAAGTTGAAAGGGTCTCCTGACACGTACTATAATAGAACATTCATAACAAGGTGTTGGTCTGTACTTTGAGAATATCTTTTGAGAAAGATATTTGACAAATTCCTGTTTGGTCAGAATGTAGAGAGAGTCCGGTGTATCTCCGGCCCCAGTGTGGGGAAGGGAGGTGTGGATTTGTTGCCTAGAGCTGCCATAACAAAGTACCACAAAATAGCTGGCTTAAAACAACAAAATTGATTCTCGTACAGGTCTAGAGGCTAGAAATCAAGCCACGAGCAGGGCCATGCTTTCTCTGAAGGCTCTGGGGGAGGATCCTTCCTTTGCCGCTTCTTAGCCTCTGGTGGTTGCTCGCAGTCCTTGGCTTGTAGACGCATCATTTCGATCTCTGCCCCCATCGTCCAATGATGTTCTTCCTGGGTGTATCTGTCTCCGTTCAAATTTCCCTCTTATGAGGACACCAGTCATTGGAGTAAGGCCCACCCTAATCGAGTACGACCTCATCTTAACTTGATCACATCTGCAGAGACCCTATTTCCAAAGAAGGTCACATTTGCTAGTTCTGGGTAGACAAGAATTTTGGGGGGACACTATTCAGTTCAGTCCACACTGTGAACCACATGTGTAATTTGAAATTTTCTATTTGCCACATTTTAAAAAGTAAAAAGTAGTAGGTAAAATTAATTTTAATAGTATTTTTATTTAACCAATACATGCAAAAATTATAATTTTAGCATGTAATCAATATAAAAGACTATTGATGAGATATTTTATATTCTTTTTATTGTGCTTAACCTTTTTGAAATTATTGTTTTGAGCCTCCAAGGGTTAGAAATTCTCTAATATTATGTCCTACCACGGGAAGTGTTTCCTCCAGATCTGGAGATTCCAGAATTTGCTGAACACATCAGAATTGCTTATACCTCAAACTCCAGATGAAGGGCAGAGTGAGCACAGAGACAGAGTTGGGGGTAGGACCCCAACTCAGCTTCCTCTCCCAGCTTTCTTCCACACAGTAGGCCCTTCACCCTCCCCAATCTCCAGGACTTCACAAGCCCCAGGCACAAGTCAAGAGCAGTCAGGAGATGGAAAACCCAGAAGGGAAGTCCT